GGGGAGGAGACATGTAATACTTTAAACAATAAAAAGAATCCTTCTCTTCATCAGGCAGGCAAGGACTCTGGTGCAAATGGTACCTTTTGCCTTTTCTGATGTCTCCTGGTATATGTTATGCTAAGGCCATAAGCACCTTCCAAGTCAAATTTGCATGTATGTATGTATGTATGTATGCACATACATGTGTATGATATATTTAAACCTAGAAATTGGCAATGTGGTCATCCCCTATAAGGCAACTCCCACATCCTCAGCCCAGGTAACTATGGCTTATCCACCTGACACTCCCTTTTATTAAGTGTCAGCGGCTTTCAACAACAATTTAGGAAGCCAAGTTCTGGGGCTTAATAGTGAATCCTATTTGATAAAAATGTAAGATTGATCTGACACAGTCTCTGCAGTGAGAAAGACTTTCCATCTCCTTTGAGATACAAGACTTTCCATCTCCTCCCATACAAAAGCAGAAGGTACTCACGATCATGTTAGAGTGAGCATATACCACATTTAGGATTGAACTCATTAAATGTAGACAAAAGAAGATAGGAGAGGTTGTAATAACTAGACTAGCATCTTCTTGCCGCAGAAGCAGGTATTAATCAAATGCATTATTTTCAACAAAAGGAATATACTGCGATGGGGGGGAGAATGTAGTCATGTCACATATTGAGGTGAAATAGAAAGCCGCAGATAAATCTGACTCTGTATTAAAGATGAAAGAAATCACCAAGAGCTTCATTGTCCTATAGTGGCTTCAATTAAAAATATAAATATTCTTAGTATTTAATTTGCCCTCCCTAAGTGTGCAGGCACATTCAGGCTCACACACACACACACACACACACACACACACACACACACACGCAGTTCTTGCACTAAAAATGTAAATGCTATCCAGAGAGTCTCTAAGCTTTTCTTTTTTCCTCGTGAAAAGGATAGCATATTATACAGTTTGACATTGATCTTTAAATAAGTTGAGCTGAACTTCCCTCCTCAAGCTCCTCTCCCCATTGGACTCCTTTCAATTTGCCTTTCTGTCCTTAACAGAAGCCTGCTAACTTATTTGGATGGATATGCCAATGTGCAAACCGAACAAAAATAAGTGACGTCATGGAAGACAAAAAGCAGTCAAATGGCAAGATATATGGGGAAGCCCGCAGCACAAATAAAGGTTGATTTTTGGTTTCTCAATTGCTGAAACAGATGTGGCCTCATTGGGGCTTTATAAATGGTTGTCATTGTAGACAGCAGCCCTTATCCAGAGATCTGTTGACAATCAACACTCTCTGGTACAAGAGCGCTAGGTGGACGAGTAGGGAAGTCTTTGTGATCAAGCTGTGCTCTTCCAAAAAACAAGCAAAAGTCCTACTGTGAGTCCTGAAAGGCTTGGGTAGTAGAGCTTCCTCAAGACTTTGTTCTGTTTCCCAGAGTTCCCGGTAGTTCCTAGAATGCCAAGAAGATGGGCCAGTTCTCCGGAGGAGGCAAAGGAGGCACCTGAAATTTAAGGAGGCATTCACTGTAAAGGTCAGGCAAGTGCAGCAAGTGCAGCAAGTGCAAGGCATCTGGGATTGAGTGCCTCCTTAAATTTTGCACTCTAGGTGCCTCCCTTGCCTCACTCAGGTCCTAAAACTGCCAAAGAGTACTGCACTTCAATGCAAAATCAAGGGATTTCCAGCCTTGTCCCCCAGCCTCACCCCATCCTAATTATGGAGCTGTCCAGAACCAGCATTTGAAGAAGACAGTTGGCAAATTTTATCTCTTAAGCTGATGCTTCCAGATCCAACAGGGAAGGGAACGGACTAATTAGTGGACTTATGTAAAGGAATTTGAGATTCTAAAATCCCATCCCACTCACCAGTTCAAATGAGGCCTAAAAGCAAAAGGGAATGTCCACTCTGCATTCTCAAGAAAAGGGGGTGGTGCTAAGAACTAAACTTTCTTTACAAATAATTTCTAAATAACAATTGCTCAGAAAAAAAAGGGAGGAGGGGAGGCAAACAGTGATGGAAGATTTTTCTTCCTGCTTTGGTGAAAGCCTTTAAAGTATATCTTTTTAAAAAAATGCATCTAATTTGCTTTGAGTAACATGCTGCCTAAGGACTACATTAAAAGTAGCTATTCTGTTTCACCAATCTGGAGATTTATCTAATATGTGGCCTATTATTTAAGAGACTTTAAAGAAATGTTTATGTGAAACCCGGTGGCACCTAACTGCTTTTGTGAATAATCAAGTCTTTCATGATCACATGTTGGAAGTTGGTCCAAATCTTCCCGTGGATAGGTGTTGTAAATGTTTCATTTCCTTTTTAAAAAAATTTTGTTTTCCGTATCAGTTTTATCCTAGTCTTGCAAGGCGTTGGGTTTTTTTGTTTGTTTGTTCTCATTTCAGGAAGAAGCAATGTGGATGTTTTCTGAATTTGGAGAAATCTCCATATGATGGGTTTCCTTTCTTTCTTGATAGTCCTTTCCTGTAACAATTTCCAAAACAAAAACAACAACAACAAAAACAGTTACTCCAGCAAAGTGGAAAGAAGCTGCATGCTTACATTTCAACAGACTTGACCAATGTGAAGATTAAACCCCACCCCAGCTCAGGCTCCTCTACGGGTTACACGTGTTTCAACCTCCCGCCAGTTCCACCCAAAGCGCGCTGGCTCCTGCTCTCCAAAGGCCGCGGCTCCTGTCGCCTCCACCAGCCGCGCTCGCTCCCCCACCGTCGCCTCTCCCGTCCCCAGTTTGTTTATAAAAAATCTGGGAGGGAGGGGAAGAGAGGCCGGGGTGCGGGGGGACTTGCTCTTTGTTTACATTAAACAAATGCCAGGCAAAGAGCTCAAGCAAAATCTTCCTTGACCTCGGTCTCTCTCCCTAATTTTAACAAAAAAGAAAAAATATTGTATCAAAAGGCAACGTGAATGGGGCGGGCGGAGAGGAGCAGCAGCTTTTCGCTCTATTCAGCCGGGACGCGGGGTGCGCGGCGATTTCCGCTGCCTTTGTGAGGCTGCCGGGCGGGGTGAGCGGGGTCTGCTG